CTGCGTTGGAGGAGAGCTTATACTTCCTGCATTTCCCAAATTATTACACCCGTTTCGGTGATCCCACATATTGCCGCGTCCACACAGTAAACAGATTCGAGAAGAAAGTTCGCGCTTTCTGAAACGATAGCGCCTTTGTTTCTCAGCTGCATTGCTTCGATAATTCTGAGAATAATTTAAGTAATCAGAAACCGTTACTTGACTGAGAGGCATTTGGTTTACACGACCGTTTGAAGTTTGTCGACCGTCCGAAAATTGGACGAAATGTAGCAGCGCACAAGCGGAGAATGACTCAGCTAACGAGAACCGGACTTAGCGCAATAAACGACATATTTGATCGACCGTGCATTAAAACAAAACGGTGTTGAAAATCACTTTTTACCCAGGGGTCCAATAACTTATTCGCCCTGTTTTCCATAATTTTAGAAAGCATATATGCAAAAATTACCATATCAGGATTGTATGCGTGATGCCTGTCAGTGGTAATAACGTTGCAAAATTTAGCCACCTCTAGCCGCCGATAGCCACCGGTGGCACTGTGTTTACTGGGCTGTTTGCACGGTTGTAGCGCAGGTACTCCACTTCCTCCCATTACCTTCAATAGGACCTGGACAAGTTCAAGCTCCATCCAGTTCGCCTGGAATCAAGCGGGCCTATCCCTGTTTCTCTGAGCAAATGAAAGGAGTACCCGTAGAATCGTTCAGCTGTAGCACCCTTTCGGTGCCTAGCTCCCATGCCACATGAAGAAGGCACGAGGACTGGCGTACTGCCAAGCCTAGACAGAGGAAATCAAGAGGTAGAGGTCGAGTTCGAACCACGGATCTTCCGGTCAGTAAATTCGCGCTCTAACCACTTGGACCATCTCGCCCCCGTAGAATAAGGGTGTGTGAATCTATAGTGTTGGTCGTATGAGAACTGCTTACTCAATCTCCATTTCCACTTACACATGAAGATCTGCATAAAGTATAGCTCGGTGGAGAAGATAATTCGATAGACAAGTAATCGTCTTAAAAGCCACAAGAAGTTGGAAATAGTCCTTAGAGTGGATTGAGTGCGCTTCAGAGTCTGTGGAGACTCGCGACCTAGTTTAGTCCGGATTATCAGCCTCAATCTTGACTCGAACGTTCATTGTTTGCATCTGTCGTGTATGCTCTTTCAGCGGTAATAATTTAACATTGTGAATGGCAATTTACCAAAGCTTGTGTAACAGATGTGTGACGAAAGTCCTTATGCAAGGCACCTGACCCACCAAGGGAAAAATTGTTTGTGACCGAAGTCACTGAATGTGTTCTTGAAAGCGAAGCATAAGACGGTCTACCTCCATTTCTCTTTAGGGGTTTAGGTTGGATTTTAGAGAATAGTTCCTCAGAAAGAATCCATTCAAGGCCAAACTCTACGGAACCTTTCTACAGTGGTGCTTTTGAGTGTTGTATCCTTTTTCGGAAGTTTTTGCTGCCTGTTATAGTTCCTCGTATCCTTGATAATGCCCACAAGTTCACCATCCCATTTTGATAGCTCAGGATTAAAATCCGGCTAAACGTGTTCTCTCATGGTGGGTTCTGATAGGACAAACTTCAGTCTGGTGCCTCCCCACCTTGTTGTGGCCTAACCGGAATCATTGTGCCAGGGCATCCGGATGACTGTTCAAAAGACTGTGACTGGAATACAAAGAAGACTCTGATGGTTCTCCCTTTATGTTACCAAGGTAGATCCCATGAGATTCACAATGCCTCTGATGCGTGATTCCCGTAATTTTACAACTGGCCACATGCACGATTGGCGATAGATCACTCTACACTCTAGTGTCAAAGGGTCAACGGACGCCAAATGAAGCACTTCACCCCGAGTTCATAAAGGGGGTATTTACACAGAACACTGTACGCGTGATGGCAGAATGCTCTTGAAAACTAACACTGTATCTTCCTAATACAAAATGTCAGGGCGCTTGCAATATGCACTGGTAAGGTACAAGGCAATAAGTACTACTGTGGATTTGTAATATGCGCCTGTTTTCAGTCCACTGTACCACACCCTTTCCCCTCCGTTTCTATTTCCGCAGCTTGCTTATCGTTCGGGTGATGTTGTCGAACTGGAATCAAGACTCAGCGCACTTCGATCATATTTGGATGCCGACCAGTGTGATATTCTATCGCTGTTGGTGAACGAATTGACCAATCCTTTCAGCAGTGTGGTCTAGGTTGCCATCTGTTGTTGTGCTGCCTTATAAATGGCTGTTGATGCAGTTTTTAATCCTGTTCTGTATAGTTTTTCTACCCTGTTCCCTGACTTAACCTTCGCCTCCCATTTGAATTCCATTAATTTATTTCGTTGCACCGACGAAATATATCTTTCTTTGTGGCTTTTTCATCTCTCGTTCCTCAGTGATGCACGGTTTCGACCTGTCGGCCACATTTTATATCTGTTTGTTATCGGTTTATTTCGCCTGTAAAACTACTTCGTGATACCGACTCAGTCGACCGGGTTCTCTTGACTATCAGGACCTACTGTCTGAGTAATGAGGGAAGACCGTTATTCGTATCACACTGGGAAATTTGTGTAAGCTATAGCTTTGTTTGAATAGACATCAGCCATGAAGACAAGATAAATGAGTTCCTAGTGTGAACTCAGATTCGATTACCTTGGGCGCATGCTGCATTCAGCAGCTTCACTTACAGGACGAATTCTTATTTAAAGATTAACGCAAAACAAAGTATGTTCTGATGAGGACTTTACACCAAAACTGAAACGTTATTTGTCAGTGAATCCACCGATTACTTTCCAAGCTGGTCTGGATCGTACCAGTCGGTATATGATGGTGAAGGCTTGCTCCTTGTCTATGACGACTGGTTTCAGCCGAATATGATGCAATCGCGCAATCCCACTCTCACTCAGAGATACGGGATTGCGTTCTCGCATTCTGTACGACATATGCCTTATCGTACGACCAACGTATGGTGCTCGGCACGAGCATAGTAAAGCGAAGTTTCCGGCAATGAATACTGTTCTGTCATTTCACTCTAGGATTAACTGGTCGACACTATCCAGGAAAGGTAGTTCGAGCTCGGACTAGGTTGTCTTCGCGTTCTTCGTTTGTGACATGTTGGGGAAAAATACGAATTTTAGCATGCGGACAATGGGCTATCTCACATCGGGAGAGAATTTTGTCATTTATGGAAGAATCACGAAAAGGTTTGGGGTACCTAGATTCCTTCCCTTTTTCTGTTCGAGGAACATTTCAAACATTGTCCTACGTGCTAGAGAATATTGTTCAGATAGAAAGGCTTCGAATGACTGCTATGGTACAGCGTTTAACCCTCATGGGGAACACCTTTCAGTGGATTTCTTGGTAACCCCGACAGGGTGTTTTGTGACATATTCGAACTATCGCTTTTTCTTCCGTGCGGAGTTGCATCCGAGTGTTTTAACGGCTTTCATTAAGACGGGATAAGATGTACTGTTTCGTCTATCACATCTGTCCTAAACTTACGCTGTCGCAACATTGTGAATGCGCATCATCGTCGTCATCCATAGCTAGTGCTTTTAAACTTAGTTGGCTTGAGTGAGAGAAGTTAAACAGTAACTCGTCACGTGAACGTATTCTCGTTCCACGATGAAAATGATACCTATGATTGGAAACTTGAAAATTGCTGAGTTACCGTGCGTTCTTTCACTTTGTTGCAACGGTGAACTGATCCAGCGAATGGTACTGCGTGCGTATCTGGGTCGGTCACTGACGGTGTGTTAGTGTAGTCCTCCAATCAACCGGAGCAGTCGTATGTAGACCTGGCGTGGTGTCTCCCCTTGCAGTGTTAAGCGTCTTCGGATCTGGAGGACATATCATCGGGTGACTGATCGCAGTTCTGAAAATTTCATGGCTCCAAAATTCACTCCGATAAGAGCCAGGGGTATGCCGCAGTTTCATACACGTGGGATAGTCGTTTCAGTTGAAGTGCACTGATCTGAGTGAAACTAACGTCCCCTTATGAATTTAAGTTGTTGTTGAGAGTTGGTTTCTAGGTTTCCTGCGTTGCAGAGGGTGTGCTACCGGTGAAAGGAAGAAGGCCTTCGCTGCGGAGTTATCTATCCGGAAATGCCGACTGCCCTGTTACAGACCATTGAACAAGGAAGCAAAACTCTAATATGCATCTTAGTTACAAAACCTGGACACAAATCTTCTCCCGAACGAGTCTTCCTGGAGATTTATTGCCTCCAATCATTCGTCGGTCAAATAAAAGCAAATGTTACAAAGTGGCTCCGCGAATTCCGCAACAGAGTTCCATTTTTCAATCGACGCAAAGCGAAATTCTACGAACAACACATACTACTCGCATGCCTCCCGATCAGTAGTATCACCGTTACACACCACCCCTTAAAGATCGTTCGCATGCGATCGGTTTCCATTTACCTCCGTCCGGTCGGCTTCGGCAGCGGGTCTACTCGGCTGCTCTTCGGGTGTATCATGCCACTTGCGAAGCTGTGTCCCATTCACTACTTTCGATCCCCGACCATCTTGAATGGTATAGACGTTCCCCGGCGGTCGGTGACGACAAACGGCCCTTGCCATCGACTGCCCAGCTTCCGCGACCCCAGTCCACTCCTTCCAGGATTCTGGTGTTCCTTCCCCTTGACCTTCGTGCCTATGGGGAACGTTCGGACCTTTCTACTTGCCGTTTTCTGCCTAGCCCTTTCCTGAACGGCGGTCAAATTTTCTCGAGCTTTCTTTCTTTCTTCCTCTAGCTCCTCCGGAGACAAGCGTGTTGCCGGCCACAGCCCAATTTCCTGATCAACCGGAAGGCGCGGATGTCGACCGTACATTAACATAAACGGGGACTTGCCTGTGGTTGACTGCGTGGAAGCACGATGAGCTAACAACACCATTGGCAAGTTCATTTCCCAATCACCTCCTTTGGCCGCAAGCCACTCCTTGATCGTTCGGTTGTTACGTTCGGTCAGGCCATTTGTTTGCGGGTGGTATGGTGCCGTCCTTAGCCGTCTGATACCCAGCTTCTGCAAGCAATTACGAAACTCTTCGCTCTCGAAGCAAGGCCCCTGATCGGTTAGGATCATTTTTGGCACCCCATGGTTGGCCACAATGTGATGCATTACCACTCCGCTGATCGTCGTCGCCCGCTGATTCGGCACGGCTGCCGCCTCAATCCATCGCGACAGGTGTTCTGTCATCATCACGATGTATTGGTTCCCACTGGTTGTCACCGGAAAGGGGCCCATGACGTCAACTGACCACAACTCGCCGATTTCTGAGACAGGAATGGGTTCCATGGGATGGGTTGCCCCTGTCGTATCCGCTTTCATTAGTTGACAACGCTTACAGGACACCACATAATCCATCACCTCACTTCTCATCCCGGGCCAGTAGGCCCTCTGCCGAAGTAGGTCGTATGTCTTGGTGCACCCTGTATGTGCCATCTCATGGCATTCAACGATGAGATTCCGTCTCAAGACGCGAGGTATCACGGGCAGCACAACATCTGAATCAGTGGCGTTCCAGGAAATTATGCCAGCTTCATTCAGCCTCAGCCGATCAAAGTGACTCTGGAACGCTTCTAATTCCTTGTCTCCCTCTCCGTTCTCAATGTTCCTTCCATCCAACAAGGCGGCTGCAACCTTTTGTAACACCGGATCCTGCCGTTGGAGTTGCACCAACTTTCCGGGATCCAGTTCGACGACGAGGCCATTGGCTCCAATCATGATCTTGGGGACCTCATCTTCAGCCTCTGGCCTTGACAGCCAATCAGCCAAGTGGTTCTCCTTCCCGGGCACGTGCTGGATTGTGAAGTCGTACTCTTGCAACCGGAGTGCCCAGCGTGCGAGCTTCCCGCGAGGATCTCTGGTGGTCCTGATCCACTCCAGGGGTTTGTGATCGGTTTCGACATGAAACCTTTGCCCAAGCAGATATGGTCTCCACTTATCCAGGGCCCAGACGATCGCTAAACATTCCTTCTCAATGGTGGAGTACTTCTGTTCAGCGTTAGTCAGGACGCGACTGGCATATTCGATAACTCCATTCCTCTGCTTTAGGACTGCGCCGATACCGCGATCACTGGCGTCCGTTGCAAAAATGAACATCTCTCCGACCCTGCGAAGTTTGATGGTCAGTTGCTGATCCGACATCCGCGCTTTGACACGCTCAAAAGCTTCATGTGCTTCTCCGGTCCATTCGAATTTCCGATTTTGACCGAGCAAATCGTACAGTGGCGCAGCGATCTTGTTGAAATCCTTAACGAACCGGCTGTAGTATGCTGCTCGTCCAAGAAACTGCCGTAGAGACCGCTTTGAATTGGGAACAGCACAATCCTTGATCTTTGCTAATTTTTCGGGCAGTGGGCTAACTTCTCCCTCACCCACTTTATGCCCCAGCAGTGTCACCGAACTCCGAGCGAGCTGTGTCTTGGCTTCATTTATCCGCAGGCCAGCTTCCCGGATCCGCTCCAACACAGCCTTCAAGTGAACTACGTGCTCTGGTTCCGAATTGCTGTACACAACGATATCGTCTCCGTACACGGCAACATTCTGGAGTCCCTTGGTTACACGAAGCATCAAGCGCCGGAATGTGAATGGTGCCCCGGACAAACCAAACGGCATTCGTCTAAATTGATATTGGGTGTCACCAACCGTAAACGCCGTTTTCTCCCGGTCCTCCTCCTTGATAGGTACATGCCAATATCTAGAACGCAAGTCGAACACAGTAAAGTATCGGGAGTGCTGGAGGAAATTGAAAATTTCTGCAACCATAGGCACAGCCACAACCCGATTTACCGTCAGTTCATTCAAGCGCCGGAAATCCACGCAAAATCTGTATATTCCGTTCGTCTTCCTTACAAGCACAACTGGGGAATTGTACGCACTGTTGGCTTCTTCGATTATACCATTCTTCAACATCTCCTGAATCTGTCTATGGACCTCCTCCCGTAGATGGAGCGGCAACGGACGGGGGCCATAAGGTCGAAAGCGTTCTGATGACAGAGGAATTTCGTGTTCAATCCACGGGCAGAAGCCAAACGGATCCTCATCGCCCGTAAACAGTTCGGAATATTCCTCAACCACGGCCCGTATTGACGATACATTACAAGACGGAAGTTTTCGGACACACAGCTCCCTCACGACAGTGCCTGGATAACCTTCAAGCTTGATTGCGCCATACTTTGTCACCAGCCTTCCCTGCTTTAGGTCAATCACGGCATCTGTGCCCTTGAGAAAATCAGCTCCCAATATTGTCTGCTCTACGTCTGGGCTGATCAGGAACGCGTGCTGCACGGACTTGTCGCCTAGGTGTATCGAGTGCGTTGACAGTCCGTCAATCTTCAATCGATATCCGCCAACAGGTTTCACGGCTAGCG